TGACTTAGGGAGTTAGCAGATTTTCTGCAATTTTTACACATTAAATTCCTTTTTCGCGTTCGCATTCTTCCCTCGCGTTCGCATAGCTTCAGTGTTGGTCTCCTTCGCGTTCGCGTCTCCATCATCGCGATCGCGTAAGCCAAACTCAGGACCCCCAGTAATTCCTTCATCGCGTTCGCGAACTGGTCCTCGCTTTCGCGTTGTATCAGCCTCTTCTTCATCGCGTTCGCGTGTCCCCTCACGCGTTCGCGTAGGCCAGGCCCAGGACCCAGCCTTTTTCCTTCTACGCGTTCGCGACTCACCTTCCGCGTTCGCGATGCTTCGCCAGCTTACCCTTCGCGAACGCGATCCCCTTGTTGCGAACGCGAATGAAATTTTTGCCCAGTAATTTTAAATACCCCAAAACAGAACAATGACGGGATTTAGTCCATATTTCACACGAGTTCTTCTTCTCCACAGCTCTTGAGCGAATTTTTGAGCACTTCTTCACCAAAGCTTCTTGGGTAAGTAAATTCCCACTCATTTCCTTCATCTTCCTTCATTAATTAATGAGTTTCTAAACCTAAATCATGTAATCTAGGGTTGAAATTGGGGGAAAAGGGTAGAGTTAGGGCTTTTCGATTTTCCTTGATTTAGACCTCGTTTTGGGGTCGAATTTGAAAACAAATTGTATATCCGGGCTCGTGGTGGAATGGGTAACATGGAATTGGTTCGAACCTCGTGTTTTGACCAAGCGGGCCCGGGGTCGATTTTTGGAATTTTGGGAAGAAAGCTTAGAAATTCATATTTAGGCATTGGGTTTAGTTTGTTTAGCTATTATTAATATTGTAAAGTCGTTATTTCACAGATTTGCCTGTGTTGGAGCCGCATTCGAGGGGTAAAGCTATACTAGAGGCTTGAGTTAATTTTGGAGCATTTGAGGTAAGTGTTTGATCTAACTTTGGCTTGAGGGAATAGGATTAGAGTATTATTTGCTAATTGCTAAATGTTGAGTACGGTGTATAGGCATGGTGACGAGTATCTATACACCGGTGTCTAGCATGACCGCGGGTCTTTATTTGTGCTTAATTGGGATTCTGTAGTGACTCTTCCTTGTTAATTGATGGTTTCTATATGATATGAAGAGAATGAGAAGGAAATATGATGTGTAAACTCTTTGGAGCATTGGCTCGATCTTTGACTCGATTAAAAAGTAAGAAATGAACGTAAGAGAAAGAAATGTGATTATTCCCTTGCCGGGACGTGTAAGTTATTGTTGTTGCTCCCTTGCCGGGATTTAACTGCTTAGTCGTATTCTCCCTTTCCGGAAAACCACTTATATATTATGAAAGAGGATCGTGTGGCACGCCGACCACTTATATATTACGAAATGGGATTGTGTGGCACGCCGACCACTTATATATTATGAAATGGGATCGTGTGGCACACCGACCACTTATATATTATGAAATGGGATCGTGTGGCACGCCGACCACTTATATACTATGAAATGGGATCGTGTGGCACGCCGAACACTTATATAGATTATGAGATCTGATGTAGTTTCGTGTTTACTTCTGATAAGTTGTTTTCATCTGTATTTTCCCTAAGCATGTCCCCTTCCTGCCTTAATTGGTATTTTCTGCTGTTATTTCGTTGCACTTGTATATATATATATATCTGCACAGGTTGTTTTTGGTAGGTCCTGTCTAGCCTCGTCACTACTTCGCCGGGGTTAGGCCAGGCACTTACCAGCACATGGGGGTCGGTTGTGCTGATGCTACACTCTGTGCATCTTTTTGCATAGATCCAGGAGCAGCTTTTGGGCCTCAACAGTAGGATTTGATCGGGAGTTGACTTCAGTCCAGGGACTTTCGAGGTAGCCTAGCTGACGTCCGCAGGCCGGAGTCCCTTCTATGTTATTAGTTTGTTTTCCTTGTACCGAGACAAACATTGATGTACTTCTATTCAGACTTGTTTTTAGCACTCTTTAGTAGTTCGTGAGTTAGCGACACCGAATCTGGGTAGAGTTGTATTTAAACTTTCGCATTTGGTTTTCAGTTATCTATGTTTATAAGACTTCCGCTTTATGTCATTATGTTTGATCAAATTAAATGGTTGGTAATTGTTGCAAAAAGGTAGATTAAATTGGCTTGCCTAACTCCCATTAGTAGGCGGCATCACGACTCCCGAGGGTGGGAAATCCGGGTCGTGACAGATTAACATCAAGAAATGTCGCAATAACATGTGAAGAAGTTCTAGGATACTTCAAAACCACCTCTGATGCCTCTTCTAATATATCAGCATAGTCGGCCCAAACAACTATCAGTTTTTCCAATACTCGTGCGTTCTTTAGGAAAAACCTTAGTAACTCCATCTCATTTTCTTCATATTTGAAAACAAATTAAGAACCTCCAGATTAGGAGAATACTTGAGCAATAATATCATGACTTGCATGCAAAATTCTTCAACTCCCACTGTCAATTTTAAGGACTTGAGAGGAAAGTTTCAACGGAACCCATGCATAATTTCAAAGCTGAAGTGGAATGGACATTCTTGATCATCTTATGCACAAGCATGCCGATTTCTTTTATATGGTCGTCTGGATCACAAAAGAAGATGTGAACAACTTCTATCGAGAAGGGATTCTCTATAATTATATCCTTTGCCATTGGAGCACCATATTTCAAGACCTTGAGATTTGGGCACGAAATTTTGACGCTACAATTGATGTAACTTTGACCATTGTTAATATAGTTTACTAGATACACATAAACCAAAGATGTCGAAGCAATAATATCAAAATGCAAGTAAGGCATTGTCCAACATATACAGTTCCATCTTTTCGACAAAATGCTTAACTGAACAACCACATCAAAAATGTACAGAAATGAAAGGATATTGTGGAGTATTTCATCAGGCAAATAACTTATTCTGTCAACTCCTTCACTTGTACTGGTAGTAGATGCACCTAAAACCTTCGGTTTTGCTAATGATGATGTTTGTATTATATTGTTTTGATGTATATAATAGTTGGTTAAATTGTATTGTTTCATAATGTCAATTGTAATATTACAAAGAACAAGTAGGGTACGAGATCGAATTAGGAAAACTATCAATTATGTTCATTTATAAGTAGCTTATTACAAAAATTAGTTAATTCATAAAATATTATTAATATTAGTCAATTAGCTATTTTTAGCAAAAAAGGGTTAAATTTTTATTTCTTTTGAGTGTGTGTTATTCTAATAGATTTGGTACATCTTAAGGAGTTTGAATCTTAGGTTTGGGATGATTTGGTGGAGTTTTGAAGTAGTTTGAATTGAAAATTCAAAGTAAAAGATGAAACATGAAAAAAATAATGTGTATGAAATATATATTATGTTTTATCAAATGTGTATCTCATGTATATCCATATATATATATGCGTGATACGTGCGTGATACTTATTTGATCCATGTGTATTAGAATTTTCGAACTCGATTTTAACTACGAATTTTGATACCAAATCGATCCAAATCACTTCTAATCTTTCTCAAAATTTGTATACTGACTCATCTATACGTTTTCAATAAATTTCAACCATACCCATTGAAAAATATCCTTTTTCGCTTAGATTTTTGGAATCTTGTATACATATTTTTTTTTTGTATTTCATCACCTTGTTTGTTACCTCATCCATGAAATTTTCTTTTCGTCTTACATCTAATGTTGTTGATCACGCTTAAAAATATGGAAGGAGAATTGTGTATGTGATTCTTGGAGAGAAAGAACCTTATTTTGGTAAGTTTGTGATTAATGGCTAGAGGTTGGTAAGTCGGAATTTATTTGAGACATCTTTGTGAGATTCTCATAAAATTATTATATAAAAAGGCAGGATAACAGATAAAATAAGATTATGTAATAATAAGAAAAGGCAGATAAGAGAAAAATAAGATAATGATGCGACCACACCAAATCAGTCATTATATAAGTGACACTTTTCATCTACGTAACAAAGAATTTAACAATACGATATAATAAAATTTAAGTAACAATCAATACAAATATTTTATTAAAAGTAACAACACAATCAATACAATAGGTAACAACCATCCAAAAAAGTTGGTAATAGTTTCAATTTTTTTTTAAGTATTCCTATCACTCACCATAAAGTGCCTTTTATCTTTTTTGGAGTAAGTGCACTTTTGATTCACCAGTTCTTGATAAATTCCGGTGTTAAGAATGTTAAATTTTGAATTAATTAACATAGGATTATATGTTATATTTAGATTATTTTGAATAATATTACTCCCAAATCTGGAGTAGCGATACAAATTTAACATAATATATGAATAATTAAATAATTTATTTGTTCATAATTCATCAAATTTTGTAAAAATTGAAGAAACTAACGTGCTCATGTTTACTACTCCCTCCGGTCCAAAATAAGTAATTTTTTGGCCTTTTTCTTGTGGTCCAAAATAAGTGATTTTTTTAGATTTCAAGAATAAATTAATTATTTTTTCCTACATTGTCCTTGGAGTAAATAGTGTTGGAATATGTGTTAGGAGTATTTATGTGAGATAGTAAAGGTCGATTTCTTAATTAATGCTAAAAGGTCGATTTCTTAATCTGTGTGAAAATATCCAAAAAAAAATCACTTATTTTGAACCGGAGGAAGTAGTTCATAAGTCTCAAATTTGTAAAGGTTGAAGAATCAAAAGTGCTCATGTCAATTAATTGAATGTTAAATGTGCTTAACTAGATTCACATTTAATTGAAGGTTAAATATATTTAACTAGAAATGATTAAATTAGAATTTGTCGTATTTTAGGACTTATATCTATTTACGTTTTATTACCCACTAATCTGTAATTTTTATAATGAAAATAAGTGATGAAGTTATAACTAAAAAATAGCCACTTTGCAACGACTTAAAAAGAAATTAAAGGGAGGTTGAGGATTAGCGCACGCTTCCACAGTTGAGATGGAGAGTTCAAATTTCAAGAAGTTACGAAAAAACCTTTATAAATAAAAAATTGAAAATAGCAAAACTTAACAATCCATTGAGAGTTTAAACATCACAATATCAACGTGTAAACCTCTCAAAATCGTCCTCATACACATCCAAGGACAAATTAATAAATACCTCTTCACTATAAAACCTAAAACAAAAATAAATATTCTGCAAAATTTTGATATGTATGAATGGGGTGAGATTAAAAAAGTCCAAAATTAAATAAAATAAATATATAATTTCAATGCTAATTGGATCTCTCCTTGAGCTTCTTGGTAATGGCAAAGATAGCACCAGCCACAGCAACAACAACTCCTGAGATAATCATAGCAGTCTTGAAATTTTGGAGTGCATCTTTTCTATCTTTTTCTTTTTTCATTTTCTCCAATTTTTCCTTTGCCTGCATTAGAAATGTTTTTACAAGGAGAAAAAAATCACAAATATGAAGAAAAAAAATATAACATTTTATTCAAGAAAAAGAGAAAAATACCATGGTTTAATTTTTCCATGCATGCAAATTATTCTTCAGTCAAGATTTTATCTAGACAAATGTTATATTGCTTATAAGCCAGAACTACTTATTTTGACTTGTGGAAGATTGTTATAAACTTGGCAAGATGATACCTAATAATGAGTTTAAGTGATATACATTGATGTGTAAAAACTTTTTACACTGACTATCAGGTTACTTAAAAGATATCTACGTATAAATCTCTGTAAAGTAGAACTTGTAATATTGAAATAATACATGTCTCTTTGCTACAATAGGTATAATATTGATAGGGTTAAAGTTTTTGTTATAGATGTGTTTATGTGTTAGATGAATTCTAACAGAGGCGGAGCCAGAATTTAAAGTTACTGGGTTCGGGATTCTAGTTCATTTAGGCTACTAGGTTCTAAATTAAGAATTTGTACATATTCAATGAATTTCTTAAGATAACTATTGGGTTTGAACCAAAGTTAATGGATTCGGTCGAACCAGTAACACGTACACTGACTCCGCCCCTGAACATCAAAGTTTTACAATTGAAGTGAATCTAGATGCAAATAAGGTAAAATTGATGCATAAAAAGGACAACAAATGAGGAAAAATATTTTCAAAATTTCCTTATTAGCTATTTTTAATTGGTATATATATATATTATCTGTTTAGTAGACAGTATCAAGAGTCACTGATTTTTCAAAAAAAAGATGGAGATTCACTGTTAGCGTTTTCCCTTCGCAAACACTTTATTTTGTAGATCATAAACGATTTATGAGGTCGAGGTGTGGAAGCAGCCACTAATGCTTGCATTAGAGTAGGTTGTCTGCATTACACATGCAGCCCTTCCCCGAATCCGAATGCAGAATACTGCCCTTTTAGATCATAAATGAAAACAGAGAAATCATCATTACCTCTTTTTCAAGTGAGGAAGAAACTTGTGATGATACTGGATCAACCTGAAAGTCATTATTCTTCTGTGGATTCAACTCTTTTTCAGCATCAACTGCTGGAAAACTTTCACCTCCACTTGCCATTTCTTTTATACAAAAATATTTTACTTGAAATAACTATTTTTCTCTCTTTTGTTGCTTTACTTCACTTTGTTTATGTAATTGTATAAGGTTATTAAAACACAGAATATATGTGCTTTTGCTTCCAAAAGTAGGATAAAAAAGAAAACCTCACCTAACACATGGATGACATTCCTTAAAATGCTACCATCAATAGAGGATCTCAACTACTTTTTATTCTTTGCTAATTCAACTGCCTAGAAAATGTTGATGATTATGTTTTACAAGAAAAAAAAAAGTTCATTGCAACAAATGACAATTTTAACATTTCTCTTTGTTTTCCTTTTTTTTTTTTTTAACTTAGCATCTATTTTTATAATTTGTCTTACAAGTTATACCCCCATCACATTTTTTTTTAAAAATTTTTATTTTCACTTTTTATTATTACCATAATTATTGTCCTTCCACTTATTTGTTGTCGCTTATGGTGCTGATATTATTTGTCTGATTTTTGTTGTTGTTACAGATCTTTTGTCTTTGACCGAGGGTCTCCCGGAAACAACCTCTCTACCCTCCGGGGTAGGGGTACGGTCTGCATACACTCAACCCTCCCCAAACCCCTCTAGTGGGATTACTACTAAGTTGTTGTTGTTGTTGTTGCTGCTGATAACATGCTGCATTAAAATAAGATTTTCTTATGTCTATACCAGCATTAAAATTTTAACCATCAAAACTAAATGATAAGAAAAACTCTGGGTATACAATCTAATGGACTAGGAAAAACAAATAAAAAAATATCCAAGATCACAAATAGGTATATGAAGAAATTAAGCATGTAGATATAGTATTGAAGCCAAGAGCTTACACAACAAAGGGCAGCAACACTACATAATTGACAATACATACAATGCACAAGAACTTCTCTTTTTTACATTAACTTATTTAGACTTTCTAGTCATTAAATACCATAATATACTATTTTATATTTTATCTACTTTAAGATTAATTTATTGATAATTATCCTTATTTTTTATAAATATTAAGGGTTTTATCAATTTATTACAATATTAAAACTATTACCATTTTTATGCATTTTTTCTAAATTGTAAACAGCTTAATTATCCATCTTGTAAATATTAGGATTTTAATTAATTCGTTGCAAGTGTCACATATATCACTAGTTATTATAATTTTATTCACCATTATACAAAACACTATTTTTTTATATTCTCATTTGTCCTTATTTTTTCCTATTATTAAATTATATTATTATTTTATTAATAAAGTTGTTTTTCATATTAATAATAGTATTTATTATTATTTATATTTTACTTTATTCCAAATAATATTTTACTTTAGTCATGACATTATATTAAGCATATTTTATAATAATATACCAGTATTTAACACGATCACTTGAAACTTACCTGTATCTAGTATAGCCACTTGAAACCTAATCGTGCTAGCTACACTACAAGAAAAATGCTTAATAGCGAAGGGAAAACTGGTCCCTAAAAGTAAGGAATTGGTCCCTAATGTTCAATAGCGACCAGCCAATCTGGCCCTTATAGCTTCCGCCGCTAAAGGTCATTAAGGACGATATAGAGAGCTGGTCGTTAAAACTGTTTTGCGATCAGTTTAAAACTGGCCCTTAAATGATTTTTAAGGACCATGTTTTAGTGCCTATTTGCATATTTTAGGGACTAAATTTCTAGTCCTTAAAATGTTTTTGCGAATAGCTTAAAGTTGGTCGTTAAAACGTTTCGCGACCATTTAAAAGCTGGCTGTTACATTGATGTTCTACACGTCAATACCACACAAGAGGGGGAGGGGGGTAATTTGTGTGGTACCTAATTTTCGCACTAGAAGAACCTGGTTCTTCTAGATGTACTTACTATTACTGTTTGCGGAATTATGAGTGTATAAAATAAAGAACACAGAGATTTTTACGTGAAAAACACCTCGCTCAAAAGGTGAAAAAACCACGACCTACTACTCAGTAGGATTTTCCCAAACTTCCACTAAAATCACTGAGCCAAAACAACATTTACAAAGCTCTTGTAAACCTAAGGATTAAACTCTAATCCCAGTGTGGCACACAGCCTCAACTGCTGCGACACTTTCAAGTTAACTCTAACTTGAATACTCAAAGTACCTAATACAATTGCTTCTATGAAAGATGGAAAGGTACAACTTTAAAACACCTACTACAATTAAACTAGAATAAAAATAAACACAATAGAATTGGTTCTTCAATCTGGTTCATGTAGCTTCAGGAATGCACACTTGAATCTCACATAAATTGCTTGCTAAATTGCCTAGCTCTTTTGCTCTCAATTTAGTTTAACTTCTACGTATGTGCAACACCTGTAAAAGAGAACAATCATAGTTATTTAAAGAGTTAGTAATGAGAGTTTGATTGAGACTCAATTGTTGATCCTTCATCGAATTCGAGTCCTAGAACAATACAAACTCCAACCCTTACTCTTGATCCGGATTTAGTTCTCTTCACATAAGGAGACTTCATCTCCTTATCCTTTATGCAACCTTTTCGATCAGTTTAGAAGATATTATTGCTGATCCTTGAGACTTATCTTCTTCACGTGCATCTCACACGTATAGGTAGATAACCACTGTGTATCACATGATGGAACTGGTCCATGACTGAGTTCATTTTGTCAATCTTCAAAACTTCATCTGACCTTGGGCCAACAAATTCCCCCTTTTTTTATGATGACAAACTCTGTGCTTTTACTGATCAGAGAACCTGTGGAACTCAGCTTAATTATCAACACTTTAACTTAGAAATCTTAACTTATCATTAAGGACCGGGTTTAATCAGGTTATAAATATCACTTTATTTCAGAATACAAAGTAAAGCATAATATCTCGTCCCCCTTTTGGCATCATCGAAAAGTTGCATATAATGTGAATTCTAGATTTTAATTATTATTCATGGCCACTGGGGCAACTGCAAGTGAAAACATGATTCAGTTAATCAATAATCAACTTGAAAAAATTTAACTATTAAGATCAGAAGCTACATAGACCAAGAGAAAAAGTGCATTGTCATTGATTAGGAAATGTTTCTACAAAGCAGACCACAAAAAGAAAGAAAAACATCCAACCATGAGCAACAAAAACAAAGAAAAGTCCCGAATCTGGGTCACTGGGGGGTTAGACTGGTTCAAAGATAGGAACTGGAAAACCTAAGGCTTGGAGGAACTAGAGGGTTGGGATTGGAGAAGGTTGAGCATGGCCTGAAGCATCCCTTCACTCTTTTCCTTTTCCTTTGCTAGCTCATCTTTGAGGCCATTTCTCTCATTTTCCAGTTCAGCAATACGAGCCTGGAGCCTAGCAATTTCTGCATCTTTTGTTCCACATTCTTGAACCAATGCCCTAACCTTGCTGTTCACAGGAGTCTGCAGAGATGAACCAGGTTCAACTGGGGTAGCATTCACTGGATAGTCACAAGCCATAAGAGTCTTGACACCAAAGTGCTCCTTGCTTGATGCCATTTCCCACTTCTTCAAAGGCACATTTAGCCTTTCCAAAACAGTAGTCAATAGGAACCCATATGGTGTGGCATGAGCTTTGGAGCTATTGATGACTCTATCCAGTAGTTTGACAATAAAATCAGGCCAGTTTATCTGTATTCCTCTCACAAGGCACTCCATGAGGACCAAGTCCATGTAATTGGCAGTGTGCCTTCTCTCCTGCCTTGGCAGCAAGCATTTGTTCACAAACTCAAATAGCAACTTGTGCTCAGCCCTCATCTCACTCTTCTGAACAAACCTGGCTTCAGGCACATCTTCAGCAGTTGCAGAATCACAAAAGTTCCTGGTGATTTGGAGTGCAGTAGGAAGAGAATCCAGACAAGGCCACCTTTGCCTAGTATAATCATCATATCCCACACTGGGAATGTCTAGAATCTCACCCAATTTAGGTGCATCAAACTGCACCTTTACTCTTTTCACCATGGTGGTGACAACCCCATCTTGACAGTGACATTGGCCATGAACTCAATCAGCTCCTTCCTGGCTAGTTTCCCATCCAATTGAAGGACCATGTCCTTCCATCCTTGTGCAGCTAGGACATCCACCAATCTTATCATACCTGGCTCCTCCAGGTCTTTCAACAACCTGCCTTTCAAGATCTTTCTCCTGCCAAAGATGGCAAATCTATCCCGCTCTTTCTCAGACTCCTCCTCTTCTTCTTCTTCTTCTTCTCCACTCCATTCTTCTTCTTCAATAATTTTCTTTTGTTTTCCCTTCACAGCAGATCTAGTTCTTTTAACCAACGAGGGCTCAGCAGATACAGGTACAGAGGATGACTTCTTGGTCGAATTCTTGGAACTCTTTGGTTTGGGTGTTGGAACCTTTTCAGTTGTTCCTCTTTCTTGATGGACCGAGTCCATCTCTTATTCTTCTTCTTCTACAACCTCAACACTCTCCATAACTTTTGCCTTTCCTTTTTCCCTCTTTTTCTTCTTGCTTTCTTCCAGTGCTTTCTGCAACTTTTCCTCACTTTATTTGACCCTGCTTCTAGTTGCTCTTCCCTTTGAAGGGACAGTAGACTTAGGAGATGACACTTTGCTTTTCTTTTCTTGCTTGGAAGCAACTGGGGCTTTTAGGGAAGAAGCCTTGCTCTTCTTTGGATCATAGCTGGCCCCAACCTTATTCAAGATGTCAGCTAGGGTTTCTTAAACAAATGAACTAGGTTCATCTTGATGTTCACTCAAATGAACAAGACCTTCAGCAGCCTCACCGGAGCCACTTCCCCCTGACTTGGTGCCACTTTCCTCTACCCCTCCACAGATTGCAAGTATTTTGTCTTTCTTTTTCTTTCCCCTTCTACTAGACACAGCCTCCTTCACATCTTTCACAGAACCAACCAACACAAACCTATTTTCCACCGTTTCTACCATATCAAAAAACACAAAACAGGTATTTACCTCACCAGGGGTTTCTTGATTTTTGTAAGTGTCAGAAGACCCACGTTCTTCTCCTTCGCTTGTAGAGATAAATGTTTCAGACTCAAAACTTGAGTCAGATTCTTTAGCAGGGCTCTCTTTCTTCTGGCTAGCTCTCAACTTTTCATTT